ATATGAGTGAGATCATGTGCTGCTTGGGCTGTTTCCAGATCTTAGCTATTATAAATTGTGCTGCTATGAACATAAGGGTGCATACATTCTTTCTGATGGTATTTCAGCTTTCTAGAAGTGGGATCAGTAGGTCAGATGACAGTTCCATATTTAATTTTTTTAAGAAACTCCATACTGTTTTCCATAACTGCTGCACCAGTCTGCATTCCCACCAGCAGTGCACTAGGGTTCCCTTTTCTCCACATCCTGGCCAGCTCTTGTCATTTGCTGATTTGTTGATGGTAGCCATTCTGACAGGTGTGAAGTGATACCTCATTTTAATTTGCATCTCTCTGATGAACAGTGACTTTGAGCATTTTTTCGTATGTCTCTTGGCCTTCTGTATGCCGTCTTTGGAAAAGTGTCTATTTAGGTCCTTTGCCTATTTTTTAATTGGATTGTTTGTCTTCCTTTGGTTATGAGTTCCTTATATATTTTAGATATTAACTCCATCAGATGTATCATTGCCAAATATGTTCTCCCTTTTTGTTTTGTTGATGGTTTCTTTTGCTGTGCAGAGGCTTTTTATTTCCATGTAGTCCCATTTATTTTCTCCTTAGTTTCCCTTGCCCAAGGAAATGTATCAGCAAGCATTGCTACGAGAGATGTCTGAGATTTTGCTGCCTATGTTTTCTTCTAGGTTTTTTATGGTTTCACGACTTACACTTAAGTCTTTTATCCATTTTGAGTTTATTCTTGTGTATGGTGTAAGTTGGTGGTCTAGTTTCATTTTTTTTTTTGCATGTATCTGTCCAGTTTTCCCAACACCATTTATTGAAGACACTGTCTTGATTCCATTGTATGCTCTTGCCTCCTTTGTCAAATATTAATTGAGTGTAATGGCTTGGGTCGATTTCTGGGTTTTCTGTTCTGTTCCACTGACCTGTATGCCTTGTGCCAGTACCTGACTGTTTTGATTTCAGTGGCTTTATAGTATAACCTTATATCTGATATGTTGATCCCTCTAACTTTGTTCTTCTGAGGATTGCTGCGGCTATTCAGGGTCTTTTTTGGTTCCATATAATGTTTAGATTTGTGAAATATGCCATTGATATTTTAATAGAGATTGCATTGAATCTATAGATTGCTCTGAGTACTATGGACATTTTAATGATGCTAATTCTACCAATCCATGAACACGGTATATTCTCCCACTTGTTAATATCTTCCTCTATCTCTTCTTTCAATATCCTATAGTTTTCTGAGTACAGGTCTTTTACCTCCTTACATAAGTTTATTCCTAAGTATCTTAATTTTTTTGTTGCAATGGTGAGAGGGATTGGGGTTTTTTTTGTTGTTTGTTTAGTTTCTCTGAGAGATCATTATTGGTATATAAAAATGCCATCGATTTCTGGGTGTTATTTTTGTATCCTGCTAAATTCATTTATTAAGAGAAGTAGTTTATTGCTGGACTCTTTAGGGTTTTCTGTGTACAATATGTCATTTGCGAATAATGACAGTTTTACCTCCTCCTTTCCAATTTGGATGCCTTTTTATTTCTTTTTCTTATTTGATCGATATGACTAGGACTTCCAGTACTATATTGAATAAGAGGCAACTTGATGGATATTTTTCTCTCTCTCCCCCTTCTCCTCTCTCTGTGGAATCAATGGAAACATATCTTTGGATGAGAATTAAAAATATATTTTTTAAAATAAAATTCAATTTTGTCTATAACTGAAATAAATTGTGTTTATAGATGCAGTTATACATAACTGAAATAATTTATAATAGAAATGATGCATTTATAATTAAAACAAATAACAGAAGTCAGAAAAATTTAAATACTAGAATTTATAATATTAAAGAAGTAACTATGAATGTAATTATACATCCTTTTACATTTTCAGACTAATAACAATATCATTAAATATTGTGAAGTGAGCCCATAATATGTAAGAATATTTAAGAAGCAAGATACTGTACAAGATCAATTGTGTTTTTCCCCTAAAATCATTTCCAAAAACCTAAAACATAAATGCAGATCTTGTTAAAGAAAATAATGAGCCATTAAATTTTTTTAGCAGTTACAATTGATAGTAATTTGGAGAGACTATGTGGATATTTGGGGGAGGGGAGGAGACTGGACTTTAACTGTGAGGAAAAATCAAACAGGAAAATGAAAATGAAAACACAGGATAGAATTATCCTTCCCTCAAAGCACACAGGCTCTAGTCCACAGCTTATCTCTGCTCCTGTAATTCCAAGCCTTTGTCTCCATTAATGCCCAGGACAAAGTGAACAGTAGTACAAATCAAACTAATGCAGTCAGGCTAATACCTGGAGCGTCTCTATTATCTGGCCACTGCCTAAACAAGGTTATTTGGTCTCCTGTAATGGCATTTGTCTCTTGTGAAGCCAGTCAGACAAAGCCCATCACTAAAGAGTGCTGTTGGGAACAATGGATGTGTGTGCTGGTGGTCAGCTTTTCAGTTAGTCGGTGTTAATAGGTGCTTTCGCCCCCTGATTTTATCACACATCACAAGAGTGGCATAAATTCCCCATTGCCACACCCAACAAATAGCATCAACCTGGGCCTGGCACTTACTTCTAAAGGCAGGGAGCTGCGTGCTAGTCCATTTACTTGATGTGGAAGCCCAATCAAAGTATGACAGATGGCGACTTGCTATCGCCACTTCACGAGCCCCACAGGACCGAAAACCCCTCCGTGTGCCTTTGGCTAAATGTAATGCTCATTTTGGCTGTTCTGTCTTCTGCTGGGGCACCAGCCCACAGCAGGAGCCCAGCAGCCACGGCAGCTAGTTCTTGGGGACTCCCACCGCCCCACATCCCATTAGATTCACCCCTCCCCATTTTCCTCTCAAATCTCCATATCTTATCCTTTCTCGGACACAGAAGCAGTCACAGGAAGTACACAGCAAAGAAGGGAGACTAAAGCGCTATCTAGCCAGCACCTGTGAACAGGACAGTGTGGGTGAAGTCACAGGAGACTTGAGAAGATAATC